GATATTAGCACAGGGCTTTGGGTTGCATAACTAACATAATAATTAAATTTTCCACTAGGCTTGCCCAATGTACCGATGATAGAATCTCCTTATTCATACCTTTGCTTAAATAACTTCTTCTTTGTAGTTGTCCATCAGACAGGTTAACTCGATCAAACACTTTAGGGCGATCCATTTGGTCAATGAAGTTGACATGATTGATGTAATTTGGATGATAATTAGTTCCCTGACCTTATCCTTGATGCCATTCTCCTTTCATCTTTCCCCTAGGTCAAGTGTAAGAGCTTTGATTTATTTCCACTTTGCATCGAGCGCACAAGTTATACTATTGTGGCTTCTTCCTTTGAACTTAGTCGACAATATCCCAATCATGTGAGGGAATGGATCAGCATCTATCTCCATGGGAGCTTTTCCTTTGTCATAAGAAAACTTGATTTTACCTTGCCGAATTATTTTTTGAACATTGCTGAAAATAATACAATTGGTAGTAGTGCTATGGCTCCATGAGTGATGCCATTTACAATATTTTTCATTTGCCAATTCTTCTTTACTTGGGATAGTCTAGCCTTTAGTCAGTTTTATTAGGTTGTCCTTCAGGAACAAGTCAAAGATTTCATCCATTTAATTAATATCGAATGAGTAACTCGAGTATCTTTTGCCTTAGCCATGATGGTTTCTTTTTTTTTTTTTTTCTTTCACCTTGGCTGGCTTTAACACTTGACAAACATATGACTTGTCGATCATCATCTTACCCACAATAATTTCAACATTCTCCTCTTGCTCTTACTCTTCTTGAGATTTGCAACTCTCCATGAAAGCCACATTGTGTTTAAAATCTATTTATGGCTTTCTGTCCTTTTCTTTTAAAAGATTGTCATATATGGTCGCTCTCGTCGTCAACTGGAATAAATCCTTAAACGGCTGACCTTCAAGTCATTCCCTCTGGGCAAATTTTAAACCACCAAAGGCTAGCATGGTAAAGTTTTTCTCTGGAAGGGAAGCAAGACATCGATTTCTCGATTTTTTAAGTTGAGCAATATATTGGTCTACTGAGTCATTACTATATTGCTTGATACTTGCCAAATCCACAATAGTCACGTCGAGAATAGGTTTATAGAATTGAGCATGAAATTGTGCTTCCATTTCATCCAAGTTCTGAATTGAATTGGCCTTGTAAATAGGTATACCAAGTAAAAGTAGTTTTTGACAAGGGTAAAGGAAATAACCTTAATTGCAAGTTGCCATTATTATAGGCGTTGCCACATTGAGCTGTATCGACTAATCTGTTCCACTATAGATTGATCATCATCCCAATAACAGAGTAAAGTCGAGCATTTTATAACCTCTTGGATAAGGTATAGAATTAACCCACTATGGATATGGTTTTCTACAATAAGCCTAATGGTTCCTCCATCATATCCTAGGTGTTGCATTACTTGGTAGGCTAACAATTGGACATCTTGAAGACCTTGCCCTATAATTCCCTGACCATCTTGTTCCCTAGGTGGATACAGTGGTCTGGCTTGGTTGTCGATTATAACATTAGGCCTATAGGGCTTATATCCCGGACTAGGAGGAATTGCAGAGCCTCTGAAATCCTTAATAGTCCTGCCCCTTAGGCGTATATAGTGGTCTGGCCTGATTGGCGATTAGAACATTGGGCCTGTAGGCATATATCCTAGATTGGGAGGAATTGCAGTGCCTCCTAGAATTCCTTAACTGTCTTGCATCTTAGGCGGAGACAGTGGTCTAGCCTGGTTATCGATTAGAACAATGGGCCTATATAGAGTGTATCCTATATTAGGTTGGATTGTTGGCCCAAACGGTCTCACATCCTCAACATCAGGTACTGGTCCAACTGGCTTGACATTTTCTACATTTGGCAAAAGTATATTTTGTTGAACATTTTGATTCACCAAATTGCCATTATTATTTCCATTTGAGTTGGCCTAAACAGGGTTAACCAGGTTACTCCTAGGCGCAACCTCATTAACATTACTTTGGGTTGAACCAATAACTTCAAGTCTTTGTAAAATCTTAATCGGTGGTGGAGGTGAAATTACTGGCCTACTGTACCAAAAGTATATTGACCAGAAGAGGATGGAGGAACATACTCGATAACTACAGGATTCCCTTACATCAGAAATGACTGGTTTGATGATGCAGGTTTCAACACAACTTCGTTAACGTTAATGAGTATTGGCTTGACCACTTCAATAATGTGCTTCACCTTGTGGTTAGTCAAACCATTTTGTTGTTCCTCAAACATTCTGCTCATAGTGGCCAACGACATCAGACTTGGCTCTAATTGTCTCCTCCACTCGTCGGTGAGTTGTCTTGGACATCGACTTCCCCACGTAGGTTTTGTTTTGCTACTGCTTGAGCAGCTGACGATGCAGCACATCCTATTCTGTCATTGCCTTGCTGAGGTGACAGGCTGCTACTGACGGCATTATTAGGACCAAATTGATTCCTTGTCCTAACCATTGTATTTTCTCAAATCGACCACACTAGTCCTACCAGACGTGCCAAAAAGATATTTTACTGAGCTTTGTCTCAATGACAAAATATCTTTTATCGAAAGCCGTTCTTCAATTTTTATAAGAGAAGACAAGTTCTGTAGTGATTCCAGACAAGATATATCATTGAAGCATAAGGAAATCGATAGATATACTTCAATGGAATTTAATCAACGTTAAAGTACACAACACTTTGCCAGAATTTAATCCACAACAAAGTGAGATGATAGAGAGATACAACGCCAGAATTTAATTGACGATGAAGATCTGAAAGCTACAACTAAGACAACATGTTGAAATTTAATTGAAGACGGGAAATCTTAAAACTAAAATAATGATACAAGAATTGAAAGGTAATAGGTTTTTTTTTTTTGGGAGATCGATGCACAAGTACTAGTTTTAATAGTATTCATAATGTAATTGCTTGCAAGCAATTCTTCACAGTTTCAACCATAGCTTCACGCCTCCAAGGTTTTCAGCTCGATATCTTCATGTTACCATGACGTCTTATCTCCAGAGAGTTACTCCTTCAAAATGGCGTCCTGATTCTATACAGTCGTTGTCTCGACTCTCATCTAAGTCGTTGCTCCTTGAAATATGTCTTCTAATCATGATCTGTTGGGTTCCATTATCTTATCCACAAGTAGTGAGTGGCCTTAATTATGATTGATATCTTAAGCCTTAATCTACATGATCATGATTGATATCTTAAGCCTTAATTACGATTCTGTAATAATGAGTGGCCCGCCGTCGCCAACATCATTCCGACGTGAGCCGGCGAACCGATCCTGTCTCGATTTGAAGTACGTAGAAACTAGAAGAGAAGATCAGTGATTCGGGGCCTATTTGGAACATCTTCAACAGCTGCTTCTCGGCAAACACGTGGATGGCAATATAAGCGGATAGACTCGGCGAGTGCGAGGGTTGAGAGGAAAGATCGGAGGCTACATTAGTCGGGTTTGATCTTTGGACACATGTTTTCTTTCTCTTGCTGGTTTTAATCCATTTTCTTTTGACTTGTTTTTGGGCATCTCTCTCTTCTCTGTCCCTTTTCTTTTAACCGAAGATTCTCCTGCTCTGGATAATCAAAGCCAATGACAGTGCTCCACGTCATCCAGCACCTTGTTGGGGAAAGTCCAGTCAATAGGTTTGACTTCTCTCATGCGGGATGCGACGTTCGCTTCTTTTTATAAGTATTTCGTGAAGTTTTACGGTTTGTCTTTTTTTTTTTGGTCTGGTACGGTTTGTCTTTTTTTTTTTGGTCTAGTACGGTTTGTCTTTGGTTAGCAAAGTTCATTGAAGTTTCCGTTACAGGTTCCATGGACAGGGGCTTTCTGTGGTCCCCCAAAAGTCGATCCCCATGGTACCTTATTGCATCCAAAATGGTTTTGATCAAGACAAAAAGGTAAGGACGAATATATATATATATATATATATATATATATATATATATATATATATATAAACTGTGCATTTTATATTTTGACCATTTGATGGGTCTTGTGAGACATGACTTGGAATTTTTCAGTTGCTTTAGGTGGCTAGTGTTTTCAATGATTTTACTGACCCGATAAAGAATCTTTTTTCAGAATATGCTCCTGCTTGAATTTAGTTTTAACTGAAAGGGTTGTTAAAATTGATCTAGGTCCAATTAGTGGACCAACATAATATGGTTATCTCTTTACTATATATATTTATCGTAGACCAAGATCCGTATAACTAAAAGAAAGAAAATGACATCTTCCTTAAGGGAAGAGTGTTTTTTTGGCCAATATAACAGAAGTTCTCAGGTTCATTTTTAACAACAATGGCGTCGTACTTTTACACTAGCTTTGTGCCTACACTCTTGTGCGCACTTTTTGTCATTCAAGCCTTGGAATTCAGTCACTCCAAAACCTTAAATAATGTAAGCTGTATAGGCGCTGAGAGGGAAGCACTTCTGAAGTTCAAACAGGGTCTCATCGATCCTTCGAGACGTCTATGGTCGTGGACTGGCGAAGGATGTTGCGAGTGGAAAGGAGTCAAATGCAACAAGAAGACTGGCCATGTCTCAAAGCTCGATCTACGTAACCCCTGTGATGGCTTAGAGTGTAGCCTGGGAGGTAAGACACATCCTGCTCTAAACGAATTGAAGCATTTGAAGTATCTAGACCTCAGCTTCAACAATTTTTCAACCCAAAAGATCCCAGACTCCTTAGCTTCTCTTCATAAATTGGAGTATCTGAACCTCTCATCTGCAGGCTTCTATGGACATATTTCCAATCAACTTAGTAACCTTTCCTGCTTACGGTATTTGGATGTTAGTAACTTGTGGTGGTCGCCCTCTATCACAATAGAGGACCTCCAGTGGCTATCGACATTTGCTAACTTGAAGTACTTAGACCTGTCTTATGTCCCCCTTCTCAACCCCAAAGAATGGTTAAGTCCTATCAACATGCTTTCATCCCTAGAGTTCTTAATTTTGAGGGGATGTAATTTGGAAGATGCTTCAGGCTCTCCGCGTGTCAATTTCACTTCTCTTAAATTACTTGATCTGAGTCACAACTCCATGAATTCATCTATTCCTCCTTGGTTTCAAAACTTGAGCAAACTCGAACATCTTGATTTAAGTTTTAATCATCTCCAAGGCATATTCCCCACTGTTATCCTTGAAAATAGACGGTGGTTTAGATTCCTTGATGTCTCTAAAAATAGGCTGGAGGGTGAGCTTTTAAAAAACATGAGCAATTTCTGCAACCTGCAAGTGCTAAACTTGCGTTCTAACAAATTTAGTGGGAGGATTTCGGACACCAAAGATGGTGCTTTGATTTGTCAACGAAGTTACATGAAGACTATTGATGTTTCCGGCAACAATTTCAGTGGTCACCTACCCAATCAATTTGGTAATTTCAAAGATCTAAAATTCCTTGATCTTTCAAGGAACGCGATTTCAGGTCCTATTCCCGCTACTGTGGGCCAGCTATCGTCTTTGAGAAAATTGGACCTCTCTTCTAACAAATTGAGCGGGAACATTCCAGAAAGTATTGGACGACTATCCAATCTAGAGGTGATGGACATCAGTGATAATCAATTGGATGGAGTTGTTAGCGAACTTCACTTTGCCAATCTCACCAGCTTGACTGAGTTGTACTTTCATTTGAATGAACTTGTTATAAATGTTAGCGCATCTTGGGTTCCACCTTTCCAAATTCAAGTGATTTTCATGTCCAATTGCAAAGTGGGACCAGGATTCCCAAGTTGGCTTCGAACGCAAAGGAACATTTCGGTATTATACATGTCAAATGCTAGCATCTCAGATGAAGTTCCCTATTGGCTACCTGAAGTTTTGTCCAACACAAAACGATTGGATCTTTCGAGCAACATGCTCAGAGGCAACATATCTCGAATTATTGGAAAAAAGATTCCACTATTAAGGCTAGTATCACTTTCTAGAAATAACCTCAGTGGTGGCATTCCAAGTTCATTATGTACGTCAGATGAATTGTCTTTTATTGATCTCTCTAAGAACCAATTGTCTGGGGGACTTCCCCGATGCTGGAGGAAGTCGCAAGCAAATTTGGAATGGATTTCATTGGGAGACAACAAGTTAAATGGTCAGATTCCATACTCACTATGCCATTTGGAGCGATTAGGAGTTCTGGACCTACATGAAAATGACTTGAATGGAGTGCTACCAAAATGTTTACTAAAGCTAGATTTGGTAAACCTTGATCTTAGTGACAACCAATTCACTGGTAGAATACCTTCATTTGGACGACACTCTCGATCATTTAGGATAATCGATCTTGAGAGAAATTACTTCACCGGGGACATTCCTTTGCAGCTCTGCCATCTTGCTAATCTCCAGTATTTAAGCTTAGCGCATAACAACCTTTCTGGAGGCATTCCTCCTTGTTTCAACAACTTCTCGCTGATGTGGGCCAATTCCACTTTTACTCCATATGGGAGATTCTCGCTGGGCTTTTCCATTATGGTTGATATAAAAGGAACAATCCGAGAATTCACCACCACACTTCGATATTTATTTTCCATGGACCTTTCAAACAACACATTATACGGAAAAATACCGGAAGGGTTGACTTGGCTTGCTCGACTTCAAAATTTGAATCTCTCTCAAAATAAGCTCATAGGAGAAATCCCTGCTGATATTGGGAACTTGATAAAGTTAGAATCACTTGATCTATCCAATAACAAGCTATCAGGTGGAATCCCTCCTAGCATATCCAATTTAGACTCTCTAGGTTGTTTGGATCTTTCCTTCAACAATTTATCTGGTCGTGTTCCATTAGGCAATCATCTAACCACCTTGGACTATTTTTATCGCGGCAACGATGGACTTTGCGGAGCTCCTCTTTTGAAAGTTTGTCCTGGAGAGGAGCATGATGATAAGGACGGACGAGATGGTCACAATACAATCGAAGATGAGTCTAATGACTGCGACTCCATTGTTGTTGGGTTATACTCGGGATTGGGACCAGGTTTCATAGTGGGAATCTTGGGATTCTGTTGTATATTACATCTCAAGCAATCTTGGAGGATTTCCTATCTTCGGGCAATGGATAGGTTTATCGTAAAACTGTTAATCATGAGGATGATTACCATGCTTTGGTTCAAGAGAGCTTTTCAGTTCCGACTACGCAAATAAGAGGTTATTCAGTAAGTAAAATCACCCTCTGTCTCTTATGATTTATATTTTCTTTTCCTCATATTCATTTTGTTGATAGATGTTGCTAATTGTTTTTAGCATTTATCCTCACAATTGTGAGTTGCAGGTGACGCCCTGCATGAAAGTACGCATTGACTTATCCAATTCGAGAGATCTGCACCGTTGCAACTGCTATGAACCTGGTAGTTCCTTTCTTTATAATGGAAGATTGCTATTGAAGCTTCAAGTGATACAGAAGTTGTGCTCATTAGTCACCAACATTTCTCTCTTTCTGTCCATTTGGTTATAAAGTAAAAAGTCTCTTGCTTTTGTCCAATAGAATAGGGCATTTATATTAATGTAAAATGATTAGACTCTGTGAGCCGAAGTTGGATGATTCTACTGTTCCGTAGGGTAAAACTTCGAATATATATATATTTTTGATGACCCAGGGAACCCCCGCACGGCCGATAGCCGGGAGGTAAACCCTGGGGGCGACACGTGCTAGCCACCACATACGTGCACCGGTTAAGTCACCCTGCGGCACCCGGGATTCGAACACTCAACCTTTTGCGAGAGGAAGAGTGCGCGCTCCAGCAGCGCCACCTAGGTGGGTGGTAATTTCGAATATTGTTTCATGCTGATAACATGTGAAAAGCCTTGATAACTATCAAAACACGTCAGCAACAAAGTTTTGACTGGTGTTTTAGTATTCGTAGAAGCTTGTGTAGAAAAGAGGCCGCTGCCCCTGCTCACCAAATCACCCTTGTCAACCCGTTTGCCGCTTTTGAGAGCATTCGTGTCGCTGCTACTGTTCGTGTTGTCACAGGGAGTCGCTAAATAGCGATGAACCGCCTCTGATGCTCAATTTTGATCTCTTTCATATCGGTTCAGGTATAATTTTAATTTGCACTCTTTGGGATAATGACTCCGTTTAGAATCCAATTTGGCCTTTTAGAATCCAGTTTGGTTTTATAGTTATTTAAGTCTTGTTTACTAATCGGTTGATTTCGTCGCCAATTCTGAATATATTGTTAGATATTTCGGTGAGATCAAAGCTTGGCCATCAAAGTGTGTTTGCTGGAACTTTAAATTGGAGCAATAACTTGAAAGGACTACTCTCTGATTTAAATGCCTGTTTTTGTCTCTTAGAGTATGCCTGTGCAAGGATTAATCTTTTTCCTCGATTGAATTTCGAAATGTTCGTATCGAGTGAAATTGTTTGGTTGGGTGCTAGAAATTTTGGATTAACAAGTCAATTTAGTCTAATTTCATTGTGTAATTTCAATTAGATCATACAGTTTGCATATTAGGAGAGGATCTTGCATTAATTTTGCATTATGACATTGAGATTGCCTCGTTTTTTAATCGTCATATTTGCACATCTATTTCCATAAATCACATGTCATAAAATGGAAAATATACAAACATCGTATCTTGCATGTTATTAATTTTAGATTGTATCATCATTAACAAATTGGGAAAATTACAAAAAAAGTTCTAAACCTATTGCAATCATGCCAATTCAGTCCTAAACATTTTGCATTTGTGCCAATTTAATCCATCCGGCCAATTTTTGGCCAGTCGGCTTTGACGTGGACGCTAGGGGTCCTACATGGCGCGGCCAGCGCTAACGTGGACAATTTTTAATAATGTTTTTTGATTTTTGATTTTCCATTTTTTTCTTTTCTTTCTCTTTCTTTTTTTTTCCTTTCCTTCTGCCTCTGGCCGATGAGGTCGACCTTGTCGGCCACTCACGAGGGCACTCACCCAACCATGGCAAAGCTTGACCCCGTCGTCGCTGGGCGAGGTCGAGCCTCGCTAGATCTTGCGAGTTCGAGCCTCGCTAGATCTTGCGAGTTCGAGCCTCGCCCTCGCCGTCTAGCCTCTGCGATTTTCACCGCATAGCAGCCCATGCAATTGAGTGACGAAGAGAGCCGCAACAACAGCAGCCATGGGAGTAACAAATCGAGCTAGCCCTCAATAGTGGCCGACGAGGTCGACGCCCTCGCCTCTGGCTGGTCGCCGGACCTCAGCAACCGGCTACAGGAAGAAGGAACAAAAAAAAAAGAGAAAAGAAAAGAAAAGAAAAATAAATAAATAAATTCGAAAAAAAATTAAAATATTATTAAAATTGTCTACATCAGCATCGACCGCACTACGTAGGACGGCTAGCGCCTACATTATGCCAGCCGGCCAAAATTGGTTTGATGGAATGAATTGGCACAAATGCAAAAAGATTAGGACTTAATTGGCAAAAGAAGAGGTATAGGACTGAATTGGCACAATTGCAATAAATTTAGGTCTTTTTTGGTAATTTTCCCTTAACAAATCCTAAAAACATGTCTATGGGTTTAGTTAGGAGATTTTACATATTCATATGATATATATATATATATATATATATAGATTCATTCTCTTAGAATTGGCTGGCATTTGATATTGCATTGTTAAATTTTTGTTTTCACGTTTAATAGCTCATTTTAAGATATTTCATATGTATGTATGTATGTATGTATGTATTGATAAATTGGTCTATATTAGAGAAATTGCATAGACTTACCCTTTACAGCTCACCAAGTCTAATCCTAGGGCTTAATAACAAGGTGACGTTAAATTTTGCTCGATAAGACTCGGATTTTCTTTTTACCGCACTTTATTTTTTATTGGTATTACCGTAACTTATTTGAGTATCGCTTTGTTTATATTCAGTTGTATGAGTACTCTCTCATATGATAGTTTAGATTTACTTGTTTTAAGAAAAATATAAAAAATAATTTGATAGATTGTATGAAGCGGTTTCCGCAAAAGTGAAAAGTTATTAAATTAGGTGTTAGATAACATCTAGCTAATTAAGTCCATGTGCCCCAAATCTCTAGTTTGCGGAAGTAAACCAACTCCTTTGTTTTACTTGATCTTTGATCGGTCTATACTAGATTAGTGGCTTCTCCTAAAGCAAAAACAATTGGCATATTAGAAAACCAAGTTGAGATTTATAAGGTCTGGAAGAGCCCGTGCCAAGAGTAAGTGACACCTTGAAAGAGTGATTATTCGCGCTTACTTGGAAATTCGTCAAACCCCTCCGGATTTTCCTCTTGGGAAAGTTGCAATAGAGGATCTCCTATTTTTGGGCGATGAATAGGATTATGCAAAAGTTGTCGATCACGAAGAGATTACCATGCTTTGGTTAAACAGAGCTTTTCAATTCCAACTACGCAAATAAGAATTATTAAGTGAGTAAAATCTCTCTCTCTCTCTCTCTCTCTCTCTCTCTCTCTCTCTCTCTCTCTCTCTCATAATTCATGTTTTGGGAAATGAAACTAGAAGTGTCATAACTTCTGTACTAACTTTAATGTCAAAACTTTTTGAGTGCTCACTTAAGTGCCACATCTGTGAAAAAATGATCGCTTAAGTGCTATCACCGATCTGAGTAGCCGGAAAATCCAACATGTGTCTTGACCATCTTTCTGTTCTCCATCGCAGTCGGGCGAAAGGAAATGAGGTTTATAGGTAATGTCCAAAGGCGGGCCAATAGTCCTTGATTAGGCGCGAGTTCTCCCAAGCCCATATCTCGCGCAACGTTGGTTTCAATTTAAGTTCAATTTATCCTAAGAACATACTCTATGAGACGAGAGTCACCACTAACTTTTCAGGATCGGCTAGAAACCAAGTGAGGCACGGGAGATGGCCTCACTTTCTACACAACCAGAGTTTTCTAGGTTCAAGGACTTAATTACGTTACTGATCTAATAAGTTCCCTTTTGGTACCACTAACTTGGTAGAATTGTTCATCTAAGTAATCAAATGGCTTTTGTTACCAATTATGAACCCTAAAGGTCATTCAAGTTGCTACATGTTCATGCATTGGATTTATTATAGTCTTAAGGGTTATCCTAACTATTCTAAATGACAAGGAACAACTAATGTATTGAAATTGCAAGAATTAAACACCCAAGTATTGAAAGCTTGAAGTAATAGTGTAGAAATGAAAACCCAATACTTGTCCGGTAAAGAATATTACATCGCCTTATTATAAGCCTTAGGACATGAACCCCTATGAGCTTGATGCTAAGATCGGGTTGTCAATTTAGTTGTTTCCAATTTTGAGTTGAATGGATTTATTTCGTAATTTTGAGCTTATCTTATTGCTTAACTTTCTTTGTTTAAAATGTATAAAGATTGCATGCATGATAGATTAAGATAGTTTTTCTAGATAGGATTGCATGTTTAAATAATATCTAGCAATTTAGGATAAGTTTCCAATTTAGAATAGGATTTAATTTAAATTATTTCCTAATTCAAGTTGAATTTTTAATAAAACAATCCAAAAAAATATAATAATAGCATGTGCATATCATATAGAATTGGTCATCACTATTTGCCATGTCATCTTGCCACGTCATCATAGTTGCCATGTCACTTGCCACGTCATCATATTTGCCACGTCATTATGCCATGTCGTTTTGTCACGTCGTCGTCGTCATGCCATGTCATCGTGCCACGTAATCATGTCATGTCATTATGTTTACCATGTCATTGCCACGTTACCACCATGTCACCCTCCATGCCATGTCATCAATTACATGTCATATTTGCCATGTCCTTTAGCGATTGCATGTGTTGGGTCATTTAAGGTACATTGCATGCCATGTTAGAATAGTGTTATTTTATTCGCATTTCATTAGAATTAGGTTATATAAATTGCACGTCACATGTCATTAGTGTAATAAATCATGCTCATTGAACTTGATTAAAGTTGTATATAAATAAGAAAAACCAAAAAAAAAAGAAAATTAATTAGAATTGCATAATTAGCTAGAAAACCGTGTTTAGGCTAGACATGCATTTTAAATTAACATATTGCAAATATTTGGGAAATTAATTAGTGTGGTTTGCTTTGCAATAAGTTATTTAAATTCCTTCCCTATTCTGGCAATTTATTCAATGTGTTGGTTTATTGGTTGCTATTTTATTGATTGCACACCCGCATGATCACCCAT